TAACATCAGGTCTATTATTGCTTTATCAGCATTCAAGATCATGCATTACATTTCTGGCTAACCCTTCATTCCTGGCTTCGTTCTTATAACAATAACCAACCATAAATTCACAATTAGCCTTGTTCATTTTGATGGACTTCATAATTCCTTCAAGTATTGCCTTTTCATCCTTGATCTTGCCTATGCCATTTTGATAGCTGAGTCTAAGGTCATTTTGTTTATTTAAGCTAACGTTTTTCATATCATTCAAATACTATCTGAATATTTCATGCTCATCATCAGACAACCTTTGATTACCAATGAATTCTTTATCCGTTTTGTCTCTAATTCCATGTTGACAACAATGTCCAATATCATCTATTCTATCGATATTATCCATATCAGCAGGTCTTTGATAACCGTTAATTGCCTTATATCTATCCCTATCAACCCTATTTCCATCAAGATAGCCGTTGCCAAGCGTAAATGTTCTATTTGCATTTTCTATTTTTGTTGATTTTCTATAATAGATTAATGCTTCATGTTTAATTACAACATTATTGGGCACCTGATTAATCACGTTGCGACTGGGGAAGTGTGGTATTCCAATACTAGCCATCGTTATGCATAGAAACAACAATAGGATAATGCCGACTAATGTAACTATAGGCTTTATTATATTCTTGCCTTTGTCCTTATTTTGGTATACTTTATTAGTGCCTTTTATTTCCCTATCTTTATCTGAGCCACAACCTTGGAATAGAAGATTTTTAACCGATCCTTTACTGTGAGCGAGTTTGGGAAATTTTTTATTAAGCCTTACTTCTATACGATCAATGTCAATTTTAGATAAGTAGTTTACAACTTTATCATTATTTGAGTTTATCTACTAACGTCGGCTTTGTAGCACTAGTTAAACTTTGAAGTTGTTCAACTTTTTCTATCCAAACTGCACACTGAGCTTCGAGTGTTTTATTGTTTGATTCCTTCTGTAGTTTATAGAATTGACTATTTGCGGTTCTAGTTTTTATGGTATTTGTGTTATTTGTTGCCGGATAAGTTGGATAGCTATATAATTCTTCACATTCTATTTTTAATAGATAGTTTTCATCCTCTTTACTATCTAGGTTTTTATAGGGGCTGGTATTTCTAAGATTATCTTTTGGACGACGGATATCTTCTTTCCAATTAGGAGTATAAGCAAGGCCTTTTTCTGTCTTTATTAAACAGGGCAGGTATATTTCCTCCTCCTTATCTTGATTAAGATTCGTTTTTCTGTTACTCCACTGCTTACTAATATGCATTGTCTTTCTTTGATTTTTAATTTGATTAATACATTTTCTCGCAGGGCTATTCCATAAATCATTACTGGACCGGGTCTTATAATTTATGTTTCAGAACTTTTTTAAATTCGGGGTACTTGTTTGTGTCTGATTGTTGGAACGAAAGCTTTCGTCTATTTCTCTATTATGCCATTTATTATTAACTCGTTTTAATTTTAGGTCTTTCTCCTGATTGGGGTGTTTTTTTGCATAGCTTATTGTTTGGCTTGATCTTATGACTACTTCAGGTTTCGTCGTTAGACCTAGAGCTTCCTTCTTGTTCTACTGTTTCCCTTTTTACATAATAGCACTCAGTTCTATCTTCATTCTTATGACTTTGCTTTAGATTCTTCCTGTTACTTTAAGTGGAGCTGGTTTGATGTTGTGGTCTATTAGTTTTATATTGATAAGCTTTCTTTAGTTCTCCGGACCTATGATTATGCTGGATGCTTGGAACTGATATAGTATTATGAAGATATTCTCTGCTTTCATATTTAGCGATGATTTCTTCAATCTTGCCAATTAGTACTTCCCAAATTGCCTTACATTCATTCTGTTGTCAAGGTTGATTGGTTTTTTAGAAAAGTTCAATCTCACAGTCACCACCAAATGTAAAAGGCAAAATATTCCTCTGGTCCTAGATAATGCCAATATGCACTACAATACAATACTAAAACTAACTAAACTTTCTAACCAAAACACGACAACTAATACAACCAAACCCCTAGTAGTGGTAAGGCAACGATCGAGGCGTGGAAAAACTTGGTCTGAGTAACTAGGGTGAATTGGGTTCTTAGTAATAGTATCAGATTAGAGCTCTTGATTACGTCACGAATCTCTTTACACAGAGTCACGGGATTTGGTCACGAATTCCAATCGTTA